ATGTCCTTTATCTGCTGGTGTGTGGCAACAAAAGCGATTGTAAAGAGCAGCCTGGGCCAGAGAGTAAGATTCGAGTTATCAGCATTTCATATGCTCCTAGGGCGCTTGTTACTGCCTGTATTTGCCATGCTGGGCATGGTGGACAAAACCCACAGCCTCACCCTCCCTAAATGTCCACACAAAGCAGAACAATCTTTCCTTTCTCAAGGCCAGAGGATACATTTCATTAAAGTCCCTTTACTTTCTGCCTGGACAAGTATTGCCCTGGACCTGAATAAACAGAGTAACCAACTTTCTAAGGTCTGCCCCAGTCTGGAAGAAGTAGAGAGATGTTTCTTTTGTCTGTTAGGGAGGAAAAGAATATTGACTTTGGGGAGTCAAGGAGTTAGTAGAAAGCCATGCCTTGGCTTCTCATCCCAAAGAGGAAAAATTCATGAAGGGTGAGCAAAGCCAAGAGGAAGTCTTCTGTTTAAGATTTTAAATTAAATTGTAAGGTATAAATTCTACATTTGTAACTAATATAATCTAAGCTCATGCCTCTGAAAGAACACATTTTGAGCATTTATTTTGCTGACAAAGTGTGAATCCTAGCAGGGGAAATGGAGGATAGTCATTTCCAAAATAAACATGCTGATTATCTAATAAAAGTGCAAAGAATATTCAGCTTCCTTCTCTTGTCCCTGTATTATCAGCAAATTGTCACAATGCATAAGTGTCTCATTCACATCTGTCTTCAGACAGAGAACAGGACTGTCTGACTGTGGAAACGTGTACAGTATTTCTGCCTCTAATTTTTAACTGTCTTTGGTCTTGCTCTAGTAGGCAGGATGCTGTTGGCCCTCCCTTTGTTCTGTTTCGGTTATTCCTTCTCACCTTCAATTTTAAATAAGCAGAAGTGTCTATGGATTCTACAGATACAGTACACTGGTCTACTTGTAGGTTGCAGCAGTAAAACTTTATCATAATCCTAGAAAACTCGTATGAGGTCAACCTGTCCAGGAATTTACATGTGCACACAGAGGACATACTCAACATCTTTCTTTCTATAGTCTTACTCAGTTGTCTGCAGCAGCTCTAGTAACAAAAATATCTGAGAAGTCATAATGCTTTGCGCAGCGACCCAAGATTTGTTCCAAAAGATGTTGGAACCAGTCTCAGCCCCAGTGAAGGAAGTCCTCAAATTTGTACTGAGGTGGGGGAGTCTGAATTTTTTAATGATGAAATGCAGATAGAAACTGTCAGATCCATTCAGGGCAACAGGGCTGCAGAGCCATCCTGTAGAACCATGATGGATTTTTAAGGGTCCCCATTCTATGAAACGTTGGGCTTCTGCAGCATAAGGACAATTACCTAAATGCCACATCATCTTATTTTGAGCTTGGCATATGTAATGACCTGTGAAAATTTTGTTCCCAGGAAGACTGATTCAAAATAGTTGTTTGAGATGTGTCATTTTTCAAAGTTTGCTTATCAGAATTTTTCGCATCAGAATGGAGGCTCTTGTCATTTGGAATGCCTTTAATGTTGTATTAATTGCATTTTCCTCTCTCAATTGCCTATAAATGGAGCTACTAAAATTCAAATAAATGGCTACAGTTGTATGTAGAAAATGCAGCCTGATAAAATCTGTCATAAAATCATAGAATCATAAAATGGCCTAGGCTGGAAGGGACCTTAGAGATCATCTAGTCCAACCTCCCTGTTGTGGGCAGGGACACCACCCCTCGACTAGACCAGGCAAAATCTTCTATAGAAAAGCGCTGGAAAGGTAAATAGATGTTATGAACAAGATTAATTTGTTCGATGTGTCTGCTTTATACTGCTCTCATGAGGCGAGTAACTTTAAACACTATGCACCCAGATATTTAAACAGATTTTGCTTTACTTCACCAGAATTTCTCAAATCATGCAATATATCCTTATATAATCCTAATATATCTTAATTATTTATTTCTTAAATATTTATTGTCACTTATGGACATAGTTTGACAGTACATGTTTGAAACCAGCTTTTCTGGTCTTGGGAAATCATATTGTTGAATACATAGCTATACGGTCATAAATTATATCCACACAGCAAATAGGAGAGCAGCATCTTTTCTTCACATGTGGATATTTTGCCAGTAGTTTAACTAGATGAAAGAGTGGGCTTTAAAATGCTACAAGCAAAAAAAAACCAAGCCCTTATAACCATGGAATTCAAACTGACAAGAAAATATTCAACTTCTCCTTTTTATCACCTCCAAAGATGATAACAAGAGAGCACAAAAGGTATATTTCATGATTACTCCTCAAAAGCAATCTGTAGAAAATCCATATATATTACTGGATATTGACTCTATTAGTTACTTTATTAATTGACTCTATTAATTTTTATAATTATTTTGATTATATCACACAGTTGCACTGTGTTGTTAGATGAGAAATGCAAATTCCAGAAACTTCATTGCAATTTCTATTGCTCGTGAGAAGCAATTCTTACTCTCAAAATATTCCGTATAGAGACAAAACAGGGAGAACATGCTGAGTGCAATGAAGAGCAGTGGAATGCCAGAGCGCAAATACTAAGATTGTTTATAAACCAGGTACTTCTTAATATTTCCTTTATTGCCATCAACTCCAACAACTCAAAGTTTATCTTTTGAATTTGCTAGTACTCTTTCTTTGTACCAAACTTATTTTTGAGTCACACTAGTGTTCTCCCTGTTATTGTGCGTTTCATATTTCCTTATTGCCATTTCAACAGAAAGAGATACTGATAAGCATAGTTGCTCTAGTAAAGACAAACACACCAAAAGTGACTGCAACAGGCATTGCGTTTTGGTTAAGTCGCAGAATTCCAGTTCCAGTCATTCGCACATAGTAAATATCCTATGCTTCTTAAAAATCCCAGGTGTCCTGGAAAAACTTCAGACTAACAAACTACACTGGACTTACTAGCCTGCTGGTGCAACTGGTCTTCAAAGGAACTGTACTGAATCATACCAGATACGAATATTTCCAAATATTTCTACATATAAACTTTTTAACGCTGTGCTCTTTTTTTTTGCCACATTCTTACGGGGTGGACTCTTAAACAGCTTCTGCATCTCCTTAGAGATGCGAATCCCTAGCTCCAGTACAAATGAGGTTTGTAAATGCTTGAGGGTGGAATGTTCTGCATAAACGGGAGATAGTGTCATTACTTAGCACTGTCGCAAGCATTTCAAAAGCTAAATCACCCTTGCCTTCAAACGCCGGGAAATTTTTAAAGAAGTCTGAGAGTCCTCGTCATCCTGGTTTACAAAAACTGCTAAATATTTGAACCACTGGCATTCAGTGTTCTTCAAAGCCTTGCACACCTCAGCCTGGCCCCACTTCCCAGTCCTTTGTGTTAAACGTGATGATTGGGGGATATCTGCACAATCTATAAATCTGCACGTCAAAACATAGTCTGTATCATGAAATAGTTAGTCTTTTCTTTCAAGCAAATCAGTAAATATAATTTTCACTGTTTAAACTCAGTAAGTGTTTTTCTGAGTCAGCTAAACCCACAAAGATCATTTCTAAATGCTCCTCAGACCCTCTGTTTAACTAGTTTCTGTTGCAATGCCTGGCCTGCAGCGCTTCTATTTTTAGCACTAATGGAACAGTCTTAAATTGCTTATTTTCTGTTTACTAAAGTCATTGAGCTTGTAACCATGGCAACTGTGGCAAGTGCCACAGCTTAACTGTTTTATTAAATGGATTGAAGGTACAGCTGCAAAACCTGAAAGGCTAGCATGCCAATTTTATACATAGCTCAGACTGCCTGATATATCACATTATAGCAAGCACTACATAAAATATGAGGAGCCAGAATCTGATCTTGGTTATAATGATATAAATCTTTAGCATCTCTCTGCTCAATGGCAAAAGAAAAAAAATCTTGTGTAACCCAGATCAGGATCTGTTTTTGTCAAATTGCACGGCCTGTCAAGTTTCAGTGATTGCTGCATTTGAATGCATAAATTGCAGATGATGTACATTAAACCAGTCCCTAGTTATCATGGAAAGACACCGTCTCGTAGCTGTGTTTGCATGAAGCTTTTAGCACATTATTGTATTGCTTACAGCAATCACATTATTCTTGGAACCGTTATGTTCTGTTAGGTTACTAGAAGGAATTAAATCAAAATAATGACCTTGTCAAATGAAACTTCTTAAGAGTTGTACTGGAAGAATTAACACAAAGAATTCTTTAAATCTCTAATTAGGCATTTGAACAAGACCACTCTGAGTACCAGAGGTGTTGAGAAATTACAGCTCCTGTTCGTTTCCGTATAAGCTGGGTATGCTCCATATATATGAAGACTAGAGTACTTTTAAATTCATACTTAAAATTGTATATAACAATTAAGTCAAATACTTCTGAAAATTATTGAAAATTGTTACTACAGTTTAGAATTTTTTCATGATAGAATATAAAATCCCACAGGATCAGATAACAAATATAATTTTCAACACAAACCTAAACAACATTATACAGCCCCCAAAAGATTAAGAGCTAAAATAAGCGTAGTGATATATTTACACTTATGAATATTTAATGCATGATTCATCCTGTTGTAATAGAACCAAAAGTTTGAAGAATGTTTGACATTTAGAAGAATGGGGTTCTACTTTCTTCGCTAGTGTTGTGGTTGGAACAGTGTTCACATTGCTACTTTTGGTGCTAAATGTTTCCTTATCACAAGTCTGTCTATAGAGGTACTTTGAGAGAACAAAAAACAAAAAGTTAAACAAACATTTTAAAGGAGAGATCTGTTGGAAAAGGTAATAAATTATCAAAAGATGTATTTCTTTCTATGAAAATGTTCCTGTCGAAATTAAAGAATAGTGTATTTGATGGTCAATCATTACATTCAAAGAAATATTCTTCACTGTTGGTGAACTGGAATAACTGGAGTGAAAAAAATAATGATTTACTGATTTTTTTCTTTCATTTATATATTTATTTCTCTTGTTTCCTCCATCTGCAGGATCTACCTTCATTTGCAACACCCACATAATTCCAGTGAAAAATCAAGAGGGAGTAGCGATGATGTTTATTATTAACTTTGAGTATGTAACAGATGAAGAGAATGTGGCATCTCCCGAGAAGTGCAAGCCAATATTGCAATCCAAACTTGTAAATCGTAAGTTACTCATTAAAAGTTCTCTGCTTACCTCTACTCTTAGCTGAGCAATAATGATACCAGAGAAATGTTGCAATCCCCATTGTCTGACTCATTTAAGCTAGAAATCAGAAAAATAAGAAGAAAAAAGTTGCAAGCCTGATATAATGTTGGCAAGATAATCTATCAGATCTTTGGTAATACTAGCAGCATGTGAGTACTGCTAGGAAAAATAAATTCATTAAAAGTAAAACATTTCACAGAAATTCATTACCCTTGACAAAAATCGATTATGAATGTAAAACTGCAAATAAAAGCTTTGTGATATAGCCCAAATATTTCATCTTAACCTATTCAGAAATGAATAATTCTGTTTTTCTTCTCAAATAAAATAGTTAGTGGAAGGTTTGTTTAAATTACACCAGAAAATATAAAACATTAAAAAAACCCATTTAAAACATAATTGAACATTCTGATTTTTTCGCATTTACAATGGCTTGAAGAATGTGGGAGGTTTTTTGGATATACATGAAAAGCTTTTGTTTTCATTCCACTCTGGAATGTAGGTCTTGTCAAAATCAGAAAATTCTACACGGAACAGAAGTCCCTCCTTATACAGCTAGACCGTGTAGCCTTCTGTCCCACTATCTGCAGGGCCCGTGCTCTTTTGCTGACCTTCACTCTGTGCAGTAACAGCATATGATCCTTCTGCTTTCCATCTGCCTCACATAATCTGCTCTTACTACAAGGTTTCCTAGAACACATCTCCGTTTGTACAAGCTCTTAGTAAAGCACAGCGTGCTCTAACAGTGAGCACTAACATTCTCCCCTGGCTGGCTCAGCAACAACTGGAAAATACCTTTTCACAGTGTGATAATCTTCAATGTTATTATGATAAAAGTGACCTGGAACCTCTATTTTTTGATTGTTAAATCAACACTTCAGATTTCTCCAGGTAGGAGGCGAAGGCCAGGACTATCTTCACTGTGATAAGTGAGAGGAGAACTTTCCCAATGTAAGCACTACGCACTACCTGAAGCGATGACAGGCTGTATTTTGGTTTTTGGCTAGTTATGTTGAGAAGATTTTAGGGAGCCAGTCTGTAGTTGTGCATATAACAGCATTACTAGGTTGCTGCTGATGAAAACAGTCTTTGTCGGTCTTCATAATCCAGACTTACTGCACTGTATCTTCTGGACAGAATGCAGAGCATCTCACTCAAAGCTCTGTGACTATAAAAACATCCTCCATAATGTTCCCAAGTCATTCACATTTTTAAAACATTAAAATTTATTTCTAGAACTAATTGAGATACTAAAAAATACTATTTTTATTAAACATGGAGAAAGAGCTCTCACTGAATTACTTTGGATGGGCCAAAGTCTTTCCACATATGTCAGTTCCCATTACTGGAAACTTGCAGTCTTCAAATAACTATCATTCACCAAATACCACATGTTTTTTAAAAAGTCTTTGTAAATATAATTTAAAATACATATTTAAAATCTTGTCCTTTTATATTTCCTTTTTTAATACTGTTTTGTCATCTTTTTTTAAAAATAACAAATACAGCAGGATTTGTTATTTTTCTCGAGATAGCAGGAAAACACTTCTCCTTTTTTTAGTAATGTTATGGTAAAAATCCCATTAAGGGGTATCAGAAAAAAAATAAAATTTCATCAGAAAAAAAAATAAAAATTACATCAAGTAAGCTCCACTCATATTCTGTTTCTAGTTCAGGATGCTTTGATTTTGTCCATTTCTGAAAGCTTCCCAGTTTTAAAAAAGCAATTTTATAACATAACAGCTGGTCCGTGCTTAAAGTGGGTTTATTGACAAAATAGAAGGTAAAATACAGACTGGGAGAGAGTGGAGAAAGAGCTTCACGTCCTGAAAAAGAGCTTTTTGTTCTGCTATCTGCAGTACATCACTGCACATTTTCAAGTGTTGTCACTTGTCGTATTTTAAAGTAAAAAGCCACTAAAGATGACATCCGCAAAAAATAAAAGCTCTTAGTCAAAACATCCTTCTCTTGTTTTGCAGTATTTACACCTGACATACACAGGGAATTTCCTTGCTGAGAGCTCTTGAAAAATTAATAGATCAGGATCCAAACTCCGTACATCATAGAGAAAGATTAAAGTGAAAAACAAGGCAAAGAAAGGTGACTCGATTTTCCTGCTACTGGGAGCAGCCAGATGCCAGAAATGGGTAGAAACTAGAGCAAGCACGTGGCTGCTCTTACTCCTACATTGTTGCTTATGGTTTCAAAGCAGACTGTTCTGTGGGCAGGATGGGAAGAACGGTGATATAAAATATGCTACATAACCAAAAATTCCTCTTGGCAGAGAGAATTCTCAAGAAAGAGGCCAACCTGCACAAACCATCCAGAAGTAACTGCAAGATGTTGTGTAGAGTCCAATGGTGGATTTGACTTAAAACAAACAAAAGCCTTGAAATTTACAAAAAGTGAAGAGAGACCAATAAGCAAGAAAAGAAGTCACAAAAAAGGTGTATTGTTTACCAATAAAACCAGCTTTTTTTAAGTCTTATTCCCACCATAAGAATGCAGACAGCAGATTCTCTGGGAGGAAGTTATTTTTTCATCATTTTTCTCTATTTAGAACTTACATCTACAAGTAAAGCAGGTGATCTCTTATCGTTGGATCACACAAAATGGAGAATAATGAGTACTGCTTCAGAAAAAAACTCAAAAAAAACCCAAAAAGCAAGGAAACAAAATCCCTTCAAATCAAACAACCAATTTAGAGAATAAAAACAGAGAGGAAACCAGCCATATAACAAGTGCAATACATCTCTTACAAACCAAGATAAGCAACAGCTAATGATTAAAGACAAAAGATATCAGATTGCATTAATATCTACTACGCAGAAGCACACAGATCATGAGAGAATTCTTTCCAGAGGTCCTTATATTGAGTTTTCTCATATTAGAATGTCTTTTCAACATGGGAACAAATAAAAATGACTGAGTAACACTGAAGAAGAAAAGAACAAACAGTGAACAGGAAACAGAAAGATTACAGTTATTTTCCTGACCCTAGAAAATAACTCTTCCATACTATCGTTCTTCCTCTAATTGATTCATTAAGAGTTGACATCAAATTTATCAAGTTTCAATTTGAAAAATCTTTCGTTTTTCTAAAAGCATCTATCCTGGTGGCTGCAACCAGCAACTCTGAACAATACTACTTAGCACAGTGCTCCTCATGACAGTATAAGGAGAAGGTGTTTCATGCCATACACACAACGCACGGCTCTAACAGAAAAAAGGGATTTCAATCTTTTAAAGGGCTGAGGGCCCTCCTAAAAAATTAAAGACCTATGGAAGGCAACTAACATTTGCTAGGTTGAGGTCGGAGAATACATTTAGTTCTGGATGGACAGAAAATTAAAAATTTACCAGCTGAATACTGACAGATATTTTAAACAGTGTTTGTAAGCTCTTGTGGACTTGATCACTGTCTTTCGTTACGTGACATTTTGATGGCTGACACACCTAGGTTCTGAGTCAGCACTGGGCTTAGCAAATTATAACAATAATAGATTATTTAAAAAAAATAGAAAGACAATATGTTGCCAGCAGTTTGATGACCACATCTGAGTATAAATAGAATTCTTTCTAGCCTGCTGCTCAAGAGCTCCTATCTCATATGCAGCAAAAGCTGAACAGGCAGTAATGTGAAAAGTGAAGATACTGGCTTCACAATAGAAGCGTAAAAATCATTTCAGCTGATCCTCTTGTTCCCTTTATTCTTCCTTGCAAGAATTTATCATCAGTTCTCTATGGCTGTCTCATCAGTGTTTGTATAATCAAATAGCTAAACTTTGAAAAAATCCTAGCATGCACCAAATCTGTAAAGAACTACTCCATGTCCACATGGAGACCAGTGACAAGCAGTGTTCCTCAGGGATCTGTTCTGAGTCCAGTGCTGCTCATCATCTTTGTCAGCAACATCGACAGTGGCATCAAGTGCACCCTCAGCAAGTTTGTCGATGACACCAAGCTCTATGGTGCCGTGGACTCTCTTGAGGGAAGGGATGGCATCCAGAGGGACCTTGACAGGCTGGAGAAATGGGCCAGTGCAAACTGCAGGAGCTTCAACAAGTCAAAATGCAAGGTCCTGCACCTGGGTCAGGTCAATCCCAGGCACAAATACAAACTGAGTGCAAGAATGGGTTGAGAGTAGCCCTGAAGAGAAGGACTTGGGAGTGTTCTTAGATGAGAAGCTCAATATGAACTGGCAGCGCTCTGGCCCCGTAGGCCAATCGTATCCTGGGATGCATCAAGAGTAGTGTGGCCAGCAGATCAAGAGAGATGATTCTCTCCCTTTAACCTGCTCTTGTGAGACCCCACCTCGAATACTGCGTCCAGTTCTTGTGTTCCCACTGTAAGAGGCATATGGACCTGTTGGAATGAGACCAAAGGAGGGCCACAAAGATGATCCAGGGGCCAGAGCACCTCTGCTATGAGGACAGGCTGAGGGAGCTGGGATTGTTCAGCCTGGAGAAGAGAAGACTCCAGGGGGACTTTATAACTGCCCTCCAATACCTGAAGGGAACCTGCAGGAAGGCTGGAGAGGGACTTTTTACAAGAATGTCCAGCGATAGAACAAGGGGAACTGGACACAATACTCAAAGTGTGGCCTCCCCAGTGCCAAGTACACGGGGACAATCACCTCCCTAGTACTACTGGTCACACTATTTCTAATCCAAGCCAGGATGCCATTGGCCTTCTTGGCCACCTGGGCACACTGCTGGCTCCTGTTCAGCTGCTTGTCTATTAGAACCCTCAGGTCCCTTTCTGCCAGGCACCTTTCCAGCCACAGTTCCCCAAGCCTGTAGCGCTGCCTGGGCTTGTTGTGGCCCAAGTGCAGGACCTGGCACTTGGCCTTGTTGAAGCTTATATCGCTAACACTGGCCCATTAATCCAATCTGTCCAAGCCTCCTTGTAGAGCCTCCCTACCCTCATGCAGATCAACACTCCGACCTAACTTGGTGTAATCTGTGAACTTACTGATGATACACTCTATGTACTTATCAAGATCATCAATAAAGATATAAAACAGAAATGGTCCCAACACCGAGCCCTGAGGAACACCACCTCTTCTCCGGTGAGGATGTTTTTGTACAATGTGCAGTTAAAGTGAGACTTACAGAAACTGTTTTCTGCTATAGATGTCCATTCATCATCCAATCACTATTTCTAAATTTTGTCTCATTTTCAGATATGAGATTTCTGTTCATACTTACTTCAAGTCTTTTCTAATGTCTTTTTTTCATTTTGCGCTGCAATTTCTTAGATCATGTAAATGTTCTGGAACTTCAGAAATTAACTACTATACCAAAAGATAAAAATACTTAATATCTTTACCCCACCTCACTTTATCTGTGAAATGCTTGAAGACATAAACACCTGCTTTTTAAGTGAAAGGACATTTGTTTAGCATATTAGTGCTAAGGTTGAAAGTATTGAGCTACATAAGCCCTAAAAAATGGATTTTACTTATACTATAAAGTTCTCACAGACTGTTCTCTGTCACATCTGATAAGACACCAGCATTTATGTGATTGCCACTCTGATGATAAAAAATTATTCCCAGAAGTATTGTTTATAAATTTTCATGAATCTAATCATTCGCCAAAGTTGTATAAAACTTTGAACTCCAACTGAAACAATACATAAATAATGGATATTTAGCAAGACATTTCTAGAAGAAGAGAACTTTTCCTGCTCACTCACTGTAAAGAATTTTTTTCTATACATTTTCCACAGTGAACTAAACCAAGAAGATTCATGATTTTGTACCAGTTTAGCCAAAACCTCTGTGAACACTACTAACTTATCATTTAGATTTGTCTAGCAGTGACAGCTGTTAACCAAAAGAAGTTGTACATACTTCATTAAATTCTTTATTATGAAGTGATAAGCTACTGTAACTTCCGTGTATGAATATGGCCTTTAAATCATCTATTGAGGACAAGGAATGTAAGTGTCCAACATTATTTCTAAATCTGTCAAACGTTCCAATCTGGCATGTCCATCTATTCCACCCATTTGATGAGGAATTTCTACAGAAATTTACAGAACTAGTGACAAAAATTAATGTTTGCTCCTGGCAACTGATTTTTTTCTTTAAAGCTGTCAAATACTTTGTGTTTGTAAAGCTGATAACTGCAAAATATCAAAATGAGTCATGTCACGGATTGAATTCAGATAAATTCAGTAGCTATTTCTCACTGACAGAAAGTCATAGCTTCGAGGATACTGACTTTTCAATATGTAGCTGTAATTTTTCTACTCAAAGTAGACCATTTGTGGGATCGTAATGTACACACACACGCAAGATGAGAAAAACCTCTCAGAACTTTGATTCTGAATTGTCTTCATTTCCTGCCCCACCTAGAGCGTGCTGCCTTTTTACTGAGCTCTAAGTGCTTTTTCTAACATTCACTCCAGGGCAGCCTAAAGCAGAACTCATATTAATAGGAGTAAGCTACTCATATTAATAGGAGTAAGCTAAAATAGGTAAAGTCAGATGAGGTAACTTTATAACAAGATTTGTTAAATTAACTTCAAAATATTTTTACTAGCTAGAAGTACTAACCTATAAGCTAATACTTGTTCCCAAACACAGTGTTCATTACCTCATGGGAGAAAGCCCACAAAGTTATTTGATTAAGCCTATAATTGCATTTTGCTGGGGAGGTATATTTGAGGATTTTCTTATTTTATCACTTCAGAATCTATAAGGCTATTAAAGACACCCTGGAATAATTTCTGGGTTTCTTCCTCTAAAGGAAATGAGAGGATCTGTTACACATCCAATAAATGCATACTTTTTGGATAAGGTTCAAACAAAATGAACAAGCTAGTAATAATCTTAAAACAGCTAAAACCATAATCAGAAAACCTTTCAAGCAAGGAAATTCTTCAAGGTGCTTACACTTCAAGTTGGCCTCTATCTGGGTCCTAGCAATGGAGTTACATCCCAGGAGCAGAGATCACTGCAGCCACTGGAGTTTCAAACAAAACAAGCACAACTGAATTTGAAATCAGGCTTTTCCTTTAAGTCCAAGAGTTAACTCAAGAAACGGTATTTGCTTTCCTCTCTGCAGAGCACTTTGCTGTGTATGTAAGCATAGCAGTTTAGTGAGAGGCAAGCGTATTTTTTTCCCTAAATATACCTGGAAAAAAAAAGGTTATCATGAAATATTGCATACCTTTGATGTGTACAAGTGTGCCACATAGAACATGGCATGTATAAGCAATAGCAATTGTCTGACTTTGCCCAAAATGGAATGAGAATTTGTTCAGGGTCTTATTTTTAGCTGCACTACTGGGAACAAACTCATCATAGTGAGGGCTAGTCAAGAAAAATCATGTCCAAGAGGACAAAGGTTTCTATCTATCCAACCAGCAGCATAGTTCTGACAGTCCCAGTGTCAATATGTATATTTGTCTCCAAGGTAAATTACAGTGAATGTTAGGTGAACTCGGTGTTGAACTCTTAGCCAAGGAATAAAGCTAAACAGCAATCCCCAGTAAAAGACAGAAGAACCTCTGGCACTTTCACCTTCAGTGTTCCATAAATATGTAACTGCCTAATTAAAAGAATAGCCATTAAGCTAAATAAATCCCACTAATCTTCTACAGATAAAGAAATACAAGAGGGGTGGCTATATTTCGGTTCCTTATGTCGGTTATTGCTGAGGGCTCAGATTAGAACGGAAGCCTCCCTGGTTTCTAGCTGCTGTAATTAGCTGTTTGCATTACAGCCTTTCCCAGTTAGGATCACAGAGTTATTGTGCTGCATCCTCTGCAAACATCCAATGAAAAAAAGCAGTCTCTGCTTAAAGAGATTATAAACCAAAGAGAGGGAATGACACAGCTTTCAGTGGCTTTCATTGGAGGTGACTTGTGCACACTGGACAGGAAAAGGACACAAGCTGACAGCACTCTGGCTGTGCAGAGATCCTGCAAATTTCACTTTTGCTATTTAAATAAATACATAGTAAGCATGAGAAGTGAATATAAAAAGGATTCTTGGTTTAAATTAGATCCAGGAGGTTTCTTCCAATCCTATAATTTTATTCATTTTTAACAGATCTATATGTTTGTTCGTCTCAGGACATTTAAAACAGGTGAGTTCTCTGAGCTAGCTTGAAGACCTGCAAAGTCATCTCACATTATAACATATATCCTCAGGAAAGTACAAAAGCAGTGAGTTTTGAATGATTTTCTGATAGAAGAGACAGACATATGTCTCTATTATTCCTGATACGAACTAGCCCAGAGAACTTAACACATCTATACACTTGTTAAATTGAATTAGAGATTTTAACCTTGAAGAGGAAGAAATCAAAACTACCCAAATATCCCAAGCATAGGCGAAGAGGACTGCACTAGACAGCAGAAAAAACAAATGTAAATGGATTTGAGAAGCTTTCAGATGGACACTGATCATAAGGAATATGTTTTATTATTTATATTACTTAATATGGAGTGGACATTATTTTGAAGTAAGCAAACAAAATAGATATATGAATAAAAATAAGGGGATTTACCATCCCTGTGTTTTATTTCTCAGGCACAGCACCACATTACTTGACTTTATTAAGGAGCAGAGCACTCAGAAAAGTTGGGCATTTCAAAATTCCTGAAAGCAATTGGCGGAGACACATGGTCATTGAGTTCTTCCTATGAAGTCACGAAATAAGTGATCCCTATCAGGAATACGAAACTTCTTTAAGGTCATTGCCTGAAGAGGTGTCACTGAATAAAGCCTGTTCTTCCTAAGGAGGTTACAAATTCTCCAACTTTTCTTCCAAACAAAATTGGCATTTCCTAGCAAAGAAGTGATGACTGAGAGATTAGAAGAGGTTCCAGTTCATGAGAAATAGCACTTTAGTCTGGATACATCTACTTTAGTTTTCTGACTGAAATATTAGCCAACTTTAAAACTTGATCATTGGAAATATATATTGATCTATGCAACAAACTTAGTAATTATCAAAGTACTTCTTCATAGAACAGTTCTTAGATTTTCCAGATAAAAAGGCTATGTACTTTTAGAACAACTTTTTGGTAGATCACGTATATTCAAGCTACCTGAATTTGCTTCTGAAATGTATGGAGATCAGGTATTCTGCTTTCCTTTCTTATTAGTCTGTTAAATTTTTTAATGTTGCTTTTTAAGCTAAAGCTTTTTGTAAATCTAGTTTAATTGTATTTCAGATGGTAACAACCTTTCAAGTGGCTCTTCTTCAGGTAAATCTATCTTCTAAAATTCTATCTACTGAAGTCCTTTTATTGCTTTGTTCTGGTTCTATTATTTCAAGATCTCATTACATTCTCTGTAATTCTAGAAGAGTACAAGTCAAAAGATGGCTCTTGCTCCCACTCTCGGAATACTTATTTCTGCAAAACTATAGATATAACAGCTAAACTATTAAATTTAGTATAATTATATGACATATAAATTCCAATTGTAGTGATACTTTTCAGCTTATTATAACTGAAAGTTCTTATATGCAGAGTATAAAAAAAATTTCAGTCAATATATGAGACAAAACACATTGCGGAATTTGATAGTGGTATAAAACATGAAGAGAACTTCTTCAGGCTTCCTGTCTCAGACAAGAGCAGTATCTTTTTTTCTACAGAGTCTGGCAACCAAGGTGATGAAGGGTTGAGAATTTCTTGAGAACTGTTTAATAAATGGAATGATTTTTTTTTCCCAGCTACCGAAGGACCTATAACCTTCTCAACAAGAAAAGAAATATTGTGCTCGTTGCCAAATTATTTGTATGTATTTGTTGTGATGCTCTCTATCTTATTTCATTTCAGTTATTTGCTTTATTTTCTTTTCCATTTTTAAGTATATTTAAGAAATAAAAATGCAAGACGCAAGAAGTAAAATCTCATTCTGAAAGAACCAAAAGCTTACAGCTTTTTCACAAGCACACTGTAACTCCTATAATCTTAAAATAAGCAGTAAGATCCAATGAAATGACGTCAACAAACGGGACAAAAAACCAGATAGGTTAATGTACAGGTTCATGAACATACAAGGGTATAACCATTCTGCCGTTGAGGGAGACCCTGAGAACCACACATAGTGTAGCCCTGCATGGAAGCCAGAGACTTCATTCATTTCTTGTTCTGCCAGGCTAACTCAGAGGCCTGTGTGTGTAGGCAGGAGGATCTGGAACCATGTTATTCTCTTAGACATTCTCAATATCACCTTTTAGGATAAATGTAGCCTGAAGACAAAAATGTGCCATCACCAGCACAGAGAGTAAACAACCTTCCTACTTACAAGGGAACATAAAGATTGCCGTTACTAATACTGATAGAAATTAAGTACAGCTTTAAATTTTAAAGAAAACTAAAAGAAGAACTGAAATGGCAGAGTAAAAGTAGACCATATCAGATGATTAAAAAAATGTGTGTATGCAGTATCTGCAAATATAAATTCAAGTTTGTAAAGTTAATAATTGGACATGTCTTCCTTTTCCTGCCTGAACAGAAATAAGGATTACTTAATGAGCAGAGTAAGGAAATAATCCACTTTAATATACATTTACATACATCTACATTTGGGGGAAAAGAACTGAAAAAAGCCCACAATTGGCCCTTGCTGTAGTTATCTGCCCTAAGGTCTGCTGAGCCCAGACCGAAAAATAAGGCAGTATTACATGCCTCAGTGTTTGCACACATTAAAGTATTTGCTACTATTTTAGACTGTCAATGTTGAGGGATTCCATTTATCCAAAGCAATTGTTTCTTTCATTCTGTTGCATGAGTTGTTAGATGCTATTATTTCCAAGCCTTTGAGAAGCAACTCAATAATTGCCTGTGCCTGTATTTGTGATAGCCTAGATCCTGAAAATTCTCTTACAGTGGGTAATCAATTATCAGAAAATCTTTCAGCAAAGAGATGATTTATGCACCTTTTGTGAAAGTAATTTTACTCATTTTTAGGGGAAGTTTCCTAACAGTATTGTTGAATTAACCATTAATAAATCTGAAATACTGAAAAAGTAACATATGTTTCATTTTATACCCAGACCAGGCATTCACTATGATAAAACTGTCCATGGCTTGATTTTCTTCAACATTCTACTACAGTTCAGAGGTTGTAGCAGTTTAGCTCTCATTCTGGAACAGGTGGTACAGCATATCAGGAAACAGTTTTGACAGTTTCTACACCTCAATTTATCTTGTACAAACCTTTTGCACATTTGAGCTCCTTTGATTTGACTTTTGAAATTCTAAATCTGGAGAAGGTCGAGAGCCTAACGGACTACATCAAGCTCCCAGCTAGAGCTGGACCAGATGCGACTTCTTTTGCCTTTGGTTGACTTATCTAAAAGCAGCTTCAGAGATGGTTTTCTGGATAACGACTTCTCTGTATCAGCACTGAAGTAACAGCTCTACTAGAGGTGCTACAAAGACTGCCTGGGCAATTCTTGGAGGAGCCATCATGACCTCCCAGCTGCTATCTCGTACCACTGCCCTTATGCAGTGCTCAGGAGAGGAAGCCAGGAATCCCATGTGCACTGACATGGCCTAAACAGACTCTAGCATCTTTTAGATAGAATAAATGGCACATTAGATAGCACATAGCATCTACTTGTAATGCTAAAACCACTAAAGAATTTGTAGTGAAAGTAAAGATCTCGGCTGTAGGAGCTTCTCTGTCTTTGCCACTGTGCCCAGTGTGTAAGTACACATTCTCATTGCTAGAAGTTTGAGGAGTACCTCTGCTGTAGCAAGGCAATATTCAGGCCAAGTATAACTTCCCTTCTTTGTTACAGAATGCTTGCACAGGCAGGGGAATTCCTTCTCATACAAGTGTATTAGGTTACGGAAGAAATCCTTATTCAGATACGGCTTTGCTGGAATACCCCATTTTCAAAATGAAATTTGTATTGATGGGGCAGGAAATTGTAATTATTAATAAAGTCTTTCTGGAACCAATTTTCATTCTTCTTTTTTTTTTCTCTGCCACAAAATTCTATATGATGGCATTTAGTGTTTAAGAACTGCAATTTCCCATTAATGTTAATATTTCCTATCTCTGTACTTAATGAAGAAACAAGGCTATTAATTTTCATAACAAGATACCTTTTTTCCTACACTTTTTTTCACAAAACTGTTAAACAAAACATTTTATTTCCATAAATTCTAAATATCTTCTCCTTTGCTTTCCAAAAATATGAGATGATAGAATTAAAAAAGGGCTTTCAGAAGGCAAGAAAAGTCAATTTGAATTTGAGGCTTTGGAGATAACTACGTCTGCGAACAGTTTAGAAGTGGCCTTTCTTATCTGCAGTATATTGTTATATTTTTGGACTGAATTCTACTATTTATAAACTCTAAGGGTTACTGAGACGGCACAGAGCATAAATGCAACCAACAGATTAACTCATTTGCAAATTACTTACTCAGTGAAGCAAGATCTGAAAGGAGGAGGTGGAATGTAATCCTGGAATTGTGACTCAGACTCAACAGCTTTCCTCAATTGCTCTTAGCAAGCCGCAGTTATAGAAATCTCTGACTCAGCATCAAGAAGGACTTGGCAATCTAGTCTTCAAGTTCAATAAAACAGAAGGATTTAAATGTAACATTATCTGCATATTTATAGTAAATAGCTAATTGCATCTCAAAAATGTTTTAGCCAAGATAAATCAGCTCTGACATCATACCTACACAAAGCAGGGACTGTCCACTTCCAAAGAGCAGATTTTACCCCCTAAACAGCATGCCAGGAAAGCTTCCACTGACCCTTCTATTCTGTACGAGGACAGCAGGCCTGGGGCCATGATTTTTCTTCATGACAAACTGTATTATTACTAAGCTGAGCAAGGAAGTGTAATGTAAACTAGACAGATTCTGAATGGGCCTCCTGATAGCTTTAGCTGCTGTACTGCAGGAGAGCTGAATGTCCAACACATCATATAGCTCTTATCTATATACTGAAGAAGGATAACAATACCTCTCCTCTAAAGAATATTCAAACGAAAAAGCATGAAGTAGGGTTTTTAACTTTGAGACCGTTTATTACAATTTAGAGAAAAACAGCAAAAAGCTGCTCATTAAGTTTTCTATTTCATGCCCAAGAGTCTTAGCAAAAAACAAAATTCTCACTGAGTATTCTTTCCAGCTGAACTGCAGTTAGACAGCTAAATCAGTAATGCAGTATAACATGGTCATATTAACTTGGTGAAGCAGAAAAGACCATCTGCACCACCATGAATATGACTAAAATAGAGTGCCAGCAAAATGCCTTTAACAGTGTTTAATGCCAGAAAACCTTATGAATGGTATTTTTAAGAAGTTCAGTGCAATTGATAAAAAAAGAATTACAGTATTTGTTTCACTTTTGATGCCTTCAAAATTGATTTATGTACTGCTTTATAACTCAATTCTGCATGCATTTAAAAGTCAAAAAATATTTTTAGTGTCCTCCACTAATTTAAACTGTAAGCAATCTGTTCAGGTATACTTAGTAAGTTAGAAGAAATGTGCATGTTCACAAGGTGCACTCTGCCGAGTATCATTGTGCAGATCGAAAACCTCCGGTGCTGTCACCCCCAGCTGCTGGTTAAAGCGTGCGTGGCTCTTGTTTTATCTAATAGAAATTTCTGTCTACTGCACTATTGTGTGCGTATATGCATTAGAGTCATACATTCAATACTAAATTTTTGGAATTCAACAAACTGTTTCATAAATTCTCGCGGAATAAAAAGAAGGACTGTTACATGAATTTGTATTTCAAAGTAGGGAAAAAGGTGGAAATAAATGGCCAGATTTGTAAATAAGGAGATATTATCAGTAGACTCTCACAGGTTCTTTACTGTTTAATACATTTGTAATTACTTGGATACCAAAGGTGCAAACAGTGAGGTGAGAATGTTTGCAGGTGTCACAAAATCATTCAGAATGTGGTATGAGTTTTACAGACATATCCTACGATACTGAGCGACCAAGTGATAAAACAAAAATGAAACTTTCATAGACGTAATATTAAAGACTTAAGTATCTGCTACCAGTAAGGAAAGAAATCTCTCAGCTGTTATTAAAATATCTTAAATTAGCACCGGCTAGGAAGATAACTCAAAAAGGCAATCAAATATTAGGAATTCTTAATAAAAGAACTAAGATCAAAACAAAAAGCTGTTATGTCACTACATTGATCCCTGAGTCTGGGAGTAGCCATAAGGAATCATAAGAATCAGTATCCTCCCCAAGGCAACAGGCTTATAGTAGTCAAGAGGAAGTACTTTTTCATAAAATTATGTTAAAATTATGGAACTTTGCAGATTTAAGTCCAATTGTATTTCGAAAGCAACAGGGAAAATTCATGGAAGAAAGGTACATTTGGTTTGTGTTTTGAACAAAATCTCTGGCTCAGAGTCTTTCTAAACAGCAGATAGCCAAACACTGAGTAAATTCCTGGAAGAAATAACACAGTGTAGCCATTCTTAAATTCCTTCTCCATATATCCACTACTGGAAAATATTAGAGGTCCAACAGCGTGGGATGATAAATTTCAGTACTAAATATTAATGAACTTTAGCTAGCTACAAATGCTGGCAAATGAAACTGACTGAAAAAAAAAATCTTATTCCAAATAGAATTTCTTATCCCAAAAAAAAAGGGGAATAACAAGACGTTTTGAGATGTTCTCTGAGAAATTGTTTCATTATCGGTTCACTATGAAAAACACTCATGCAGCAAAACGATGAATGACAAGAAGATATTCGATAAGTCAGATCATTTATACAATGACATTCAATCATTTAAATTATTTCAATTATTTTATTTTCTTATTTTATTTTTGGTATTTCTTTTTTCTAAACTGTTTCCTGTGTTGGTAAACATAGTGCCCTGCACTTCCATCTGCGAGTTGTATTACACCGTACCTTAAAATGCTGGCTGTCTAGGTTTGGGTTTTTTTAGAGACACAGTCAGTAGATGTTATGTTCGTCCTCTACATTTTCTTTATTTGCCCTATGGTTTACACTTTCTCTCATCTACTGACATTTCTTACCACTACATATAGTTGTCAATTTGCCCCACATGCAGAATAGCCTACCATGCCGTTTAATATACCAAGCCTATCTAAGTCCACACCCATTCAAATGGTACAAAAGATAATTACATTGTGTAAGTGTAACAGAGGCCAAAGAACTGTGTCGCTGTTTTTTCTTCCCTGTGTTCCTTTACTTTTAATTTTAAACTTAGAGTAAGTGTTTCATTTAATCATAAAATGTAAGACCGAAAAGGATTGTGGCGAAACTGATACACAACTTCCTTTTCCTTCCTGAAAAATTGGCAGTAGTATCTTCCTGTTTAATTTGTAGCAAAGAAATCAGTAAATCAGCAGTACGCTGTTAGGCACATGGGGTTCCACTACTGATAAAATCCACAGATACCAATTTCAGGGTGATAGCTACGCATTTAGGCAGTTCAAAAGTGTTCTGGCAGTCTTTTATAGTTGTACAGATTTTTAATTTAGAGAGGACCATCAGAACAGATAAACGTATCTCTTTTAAAACAGACTGTAGAATCCATGCTGCTATCACTGTTCTGAGATCAATAACTTGTGTCTGACTGAAGTATGAAATCCCTTAACACCATGACTATAACAAATTTACAACTATATAGTATTTCCATATTTACACATTCCATTGCTACGCATTGTAATTTATTAGGAAGAGGTCGATTATTTATAGCTATTACTATGAAACTCTGACTGCGTCTGAAAAAAAGCAGATTTTCATGACAAGAAACCAACATGTAATATTTTCTTCTTTTGTGTGTATTTTCCTGTAGGCAGACTTTTTGGGTTCCGGTTACCTGGATTGAGACTTTTAACCTACAGAAAGGAGTCTTTACCACAGGAAGACCCTGACGCAGTGATAGTTGATTCATCTAAGCACAGTGATGACTCAGTGGCGATGAAGCACTTTAAATCACCTACAAAAGAAAGTTGCAGTCCTTCAGAAGTGGATGATACAAAAGCACTAATTCAACCCAGTAAATGTTCACCTCTGGTTAATATATCAGGACCTCTTGACCATTCGTCACCTAAACAACAATGGGACAGACTTTACCCTGACATGATACAGACAAGCAATCCACTAACCCATTCCAGATCAAAGGAAAGCATTTGTAGTATTCGGAGAGCATCTTCGGTGCATGACATAGAAGGCTTTAACGTCCAGCCCAAGAACATTTTTAGGGACCGTCACGCAAGCGAAGGTATGATAGAAAGTCAATCAGTATTCTCTGATGTGCTAAGAAAGCAATTATTGCAATTTTTCACAGTAATCATGATCATTACTTTCTAAGCAAAACTAAATATAATAGGCTGTATACATTCAAAGGCACACTAAAAATATTAAAGGCTCAAATTAGCCAGGCTGTTTTACATTAAATATTACTTTTCATGTCTAAGCAGGACAATGAAATCATGGGGTTGCTCTTAAGAGTACCATCTGCCTTCTATGCAGGGGTATAGCAAAATCAGGCCCAACATTTGGAAAGCTAGTATTGGTATTTGGAGCAAAAAAAGTCAAGTGATCAAGTTAAAATTGCCTGGGAAGTTCTGTCCCATACTCACATATATTGCATTGTCTTTGTATGAAATCCTACTTCAGAGACCAATCAGTTTATTTTTCTTAAATCTGTAATGTGTACGTTGTACATTCACTGATCCAAAAACAGATCCTTTTTCTCTCACACTGGAGAAAATATCTTGGGCAACTCCACTGAAACACCTCGTGCAATACTTAGTGAAATACTTAGTTAAATGGTGAAATCCTTAGTGTAAAATTCATGTAAGTGTGATTTTCCCTTTGTGTTAGCATATACTCGCAACCAGCAAAACTTACAAAAATGTTTACTCTGTCTTATTTTTCTGCTGTCTCTCCTAATTACACAAAGTTTTGGAGTGTGGTCCATGATTTCTTGCTGAAGTCAGGGAGTTTGAGAAACTTGGGAAAGACCTTAGCAAACAGAGATTAAATGCCCTGTGAATGAAAAGGCACCTTTGAAACTGGCTTTCACAGAAAAGTGCCACATATACAATGCTTTTGCAGCTACTGATGGTCTAGTGACTTGAATTGCCCTCTTTTTATTCAAGCCAGGTGACAAGGAATGTATGGCAGATATTTTAAGATTTCTGAAACATACGTCATGGAAGACTGTATCTTCATTTTCAGTCATTGCCTGGTTTTCTCCTATGCATTGACTTCAGGTGTAAAATTCCTTTAAGTCCTGCAGCCTTTTGGAAGGTCCACATCAAGGGCTCTTTGCTTCTGTATGTCTCCTAAAACATAAGTTTGAATGGTCCTCTGCCACTCAGATTAACTCTTAGAGTAGCAGAACTAATTATTCCTTCAAATATTAAATATAATGGGTAAATACATCTTTTCTCATTTCTTATTTCCTTTGGACTCTGGTTTTTTTCCGGTTCAAATGAACCTGAAAATTCGATTAAATCCATCCTAAACCATACCATTTTGCTATATTTCATGTTCACATTTAAGCCATGATTTCAGAATCAGGATATGGAGGGAAAAATCTCTAAGGTTGAACCTTGGCATATCTTTTGGACCATTGCATAAGCTTCATCTCGGTTTCAACTTCCCCAGATATTTAAACTAACCTTTCAAATAAAACACCTTTAAAGATACCTGTTTTGTCAATTTCTATTTTCATAACTTATTTTCATTAAGGCACTTCCCAAATGGTCATTCTTCATATAGTCATATGATGAAAATGTATAAAAATCAGTGTGGTTATGATGGTAAAAAGCTCATGTGCAGAAATTGCCACATAATTTAATACTCGCTGTGTGGAGGAGCAAAAATTTCCAGCTCCATTTCACTGAATAATGTTTTTCAAATGTTAAATTCTACGGAAAATAAATTTTACTACAAGGAGTCAATAATCCATTTTGATTCCTATGGCCTCTCACTTGATGTCTATTTACCCTGTATATAGATAAAACACTGCCACTCTGATTTCACTCTGCATAAGCTACAAAATAGTAAAGAATCTGTCCCTCAGTTTAGGTCATACGTATGCATTCTAAAAAAGTACAGAAGAACACAGGATGGCTCTCAGAATTGCATTAGAATTAGTAACCATCCATGATGCCATCTGCTTCCAAACATATTAGAATTTGGCATTTTATGCTGAAAAGATGTTTAAATTTAGCCAGCAAGTCCTTCTTGTCTTATTCAGCTGTGAGCCGTAAATCCCTATTGTTGCTATAAAATTATCTATGCAAGTTAGGCAACGAGGATTCAGCCTACATTATCTTCTCTGGACTCACAGCTTCTGAGCAGCAGCTGTAGATACTGTACTGGAGAATGGAAAGCCCTAACTAAAAGTAAAGTACAATAAGTACAATAAGTCCCAGTGGGCTAAATTATTACCCAAGGAATCATAAGGTATAATATATTTCCTATCCCATTTTTATTATTTATTCATCCTAATAATTCTGAATTTTCCTGAATCCACTGAAAACTACTACGCTGTCCTAAAATGCAATTCAGGATTCAGATTTAATTTCCTTCCACCTCTTCTAGTTCAAATAACATTAACTGAATCACCATAACAGAATTCTGACAGAAGAGAATAGCGTTATTTAGTTAAATACTAAGTACGGTATTTCACCCACAGTCAAATTTATTTTTTTGCAAGATAACACAACTGAGAATATAAATTAAGTCATGTGTTAAATTAATTTATGTAGCCTAGCTGCCTATCATTTAAAAATTAAGATAGCTGTGGCCTTTATGTGCTGAAAGGTATTACAGTAAAAATGACAGTTTAGGATTTTAAATTCATTTGAGTATACTTCATTGAATTCTGCTCTAAGTTTGCCTACTTGACAGCAAAAGCAGCAAGGCAGGAACTGTGTCTTCCACCCATGACCCAAATTCAAAATAAGCCCTTCTCAACTGAAACACCAGCAATTCAGGTTTCTCAGGTGGGTGCACTTTCACAGGGACTCTTCGGGAATTTTATTGTCTTCAGAAAGCGGCCTTAGTAACATCCCTGCAGCCTTGTGGGAAAACCAGCAGGTTTGGGAGCCTAACTCAGCCTACAAAGTCTGCGTTACCGCTACAGGTGCCTGGCACGGAAAGGCGCCAGGCTGAGAGGAACCAAACGCTCTCCCACACCTGTGACCCACAGGGCCCAGTTCGATGTCCCACACTCCCTGGTCCTTGGGAAGCCGAGGAAAAGCCACAAAGAGGCAGCACAGGTGACACGATGCCACTGACAAGGCTCAGCATCACCTCCGATCCCCCTCGCAGGAGAAGGCCAAAGCCCTTCTCCAGAGTGGGGCTGAAGCGGGGCCTCTGCACGGACATGGTTGCTGCTGGGGTGGGCAAGGCATGGCCACCTCAGCCCTCAGAGGCAGCCTGTCCGCGGAGGACAACCGCAGATGAATGTCAGTTTGAGCTCCACACACCTTGGAAAGCCGGTACGCTGGTCCCGGCGGATGGCAGCGCACAGGGGCTGCAGCCTGCCCCTCGCTCCCTGCTGGGCCCCGGGGCCCTCGCCCACCCTTACACCCTCCCCAAGCTGCCACAACCAGGCAGGGGGCACGGCACAAAGGGAGGGTGGCCTGTGGGTCATGTTGTACACCAAGGAACAGCGTGGCATCTACCTATCCACCTGTGTGGCCCCTTTAAAAATAATATTAAATAATAGCAGCAATAATAATAATAACAACAACAATAATAATATTTGCCCTGAGGTTCAATCTCATAAGAGGCCTCAGGGTTGCATGTGCCTGGAAGGACCAACAATGTTGCCACTGTTGCCTTGCAGAAAGGCACCTAAGGGCTGAAGAAAGATTTAGGGAATACCTTTCTCCTCAGTGTTTCTCCAGTATTTACTCAGGAAGGCGCAGCTCAGCTTGCTGCCATGGTAAAAACTTGCTCCTGTGAGTCCTGGGCAGGCGTGGGAGCCGAGGGCCTGCGCAGCCTCACCGCCCGGGCAGCCAGCTGGCCTGCGGCACCACCCACAGCTGTGGGTATCTCCGCCTCACTTAATCACCTGTGACTAATTACCACTTCGTGGGTTAGCACTTTTGACCACCAACCCAGTGCTGGATTTGTGGAGAAACAATTTTATCATGTTACTGTTAAGGCAAGTTAGCTAGAGCTGGTCCTACTACCTGCTGATTTACACCAAACAGGTTCTCTCTCATCAAAGTGACTTCATTTCGACTAAAAGTCTACATAGTATAATCAAGAGGGTGCAAAAATATTTTAATTCAAACCACATACATACTTTGAAGCAATATTTTCTGCTTTTTCTGATGTAGATTTTAGTTGTCTTTTTTTCTCTCTTTTTCTTCGCTTTTGTTATGCTGAAAACCAGACAATGGTCGCAATGTCAAAGGTAAAGTATACATCTAGACCGTACCTTCCAATGCTTCAAACAGCCACACTTTTTGGCATGTTATTTTGCCTGCTGTATGAAATGTTCAAATGCAACATTCTCATGCTGACCTCTCTAAGGCCAGGTGCATTACTTAAATTATATTTGTTAGACACATAGTTATTCCCTTAACTGTTGTCTCAAAGCACTAACTACCAATCCCCGGAAAAAGTGAAGGCATAGTTAAAGTCATTTGACTTAAATATCTGGTATTGTAAAAAAAGAAGGGAGGAAGATACAACATATCCTAGGTATTGAACTCAGTGCTGTTGTCCTTAGGCAGGCAAAACTTCTATTGAAGCTGCCAGGAGTTTTACCTGTGAAAGGATGCGTAATCGGGTGGGGACATTAACAAAAAAAATCTATTGGTGTAAAGTGCTTAGTTTTCAGTTAACTATGTCAAAAATAAAATAATTGGTAATCAGGAGCCTTGTGGATCTTCACTTATTCCTCTTTTGTCTCCTTAAAACTAGTTTCACGTTCCTGGATGGCAGGGGGTATGGTTTCAAGCTTCCTGTAGTATTAAAATGTGCATGCATGAACTTCATTGCCAATTTCATGTTTAAATAATATTTAGCGCAATTACAAAATTGTTTCTATTCACCAGCACTGAGCTACATCTTTAGAAGCCATTTGAACTTAATTTTCAAGTGACTTTCTCCATTTCTAGAAAATAATTACTCAAGTGTTCAGTTTAATTTCAGTATTTGTAGCTATGTCTGAAAACTGGTTTGTGACTTCATGCATGATGCAAAAAGTGTGTGTACCTGGTAAAGTCTTCTTTCTAAACTGCATGCAGTGCATGATCTAGGTTCTGTAAAGCAATCTGTGGACTACAAAGTCATTGCATTTGCTTCATGTGTATGTTGGCAAAATCTTAGGGGGAAAAATGCAGTCCCTGTACTATAAGACAACTTTTATAAATGTATTTACTGCTGGTGAAAGGTGATGGATTGACAGCTCTTGAGGGTGAAATCATTTTTCAATGCATTGTGTAAGCAGGGACAATGGAATCCTACCATAAAAGCGGGGAGCTCAAACTTACCCTTAGAGAATCTCCTTTGTAGGGTAGGCAGAAGCATGTTCTTCTCCCTGTTTATTCAGTTCTTGGCCACTGTGCTGAAACTGTCAATCAAGGTGCCAATTAGTATCAATTGTGATGTGTTACGGCCCTCTTGTTATGCTTCCTGCTATGAGATTACAGCAAAGGTCCACTAGTTGTCAACTATCAGCTCAGTTGCTGCCAGCCTTGGTTGTGCTTAACCTAGTAATGCCTTTCAGTTAATTGCTGTTATTAATGAGGTAAGCATATACCTTTCACAACTTTCTAAAGAAAAAAACATTGATTAAAAAACCCCGAGGGTTTATTCTCATGTGCAATTAAGTCTAATATCACATGCTAGGGCATGAGGATTAGATAGTGAAGGAGAGAGTAATTCCCTTTTGGAATAGAAGCAATAAAATATTTAAATCCTAGAAATCAAAACTTCTATGGAATTTAAGCACCTCTAAAGTTACTATTAAAAAAAATCTTATCTACTAATTATGGATTTGCCTAAGCTCCCTTATTTCCCTCTTGCCTTTAAGTTCCATAGGTATGAAGAATCTTGTTCATCTGCCCAATGGCCCAGACTTGATGCCTGACCCATATCTAAGCCTATTCAATATTCAAAAACAATTAGTTGCTACAGCTTTGTAGGGAAGAAGAGCTGAAAAACTAGTCTGACCATACGTACATAGCACACGCCAGACAGATCAGGCACTTCAGTCATTTTTGAGACTATGAGCCCTGATTTATTTTGAACACTTTTTAATAGACTCGTGTAGATGATGTGAAAGATGGATTTAGGTGTTCACGCACAATATTCCAATTTCTTGATAGTGTCCTCAGTACCAGGCCTTTTAGTGTTTCTTGTGGGAGAAAAATAGTGCTTTCTGCCTTACCAGGGAAGCTGTTCCACAAAGAATATGCTATATTCATTGGTCTAAAGAGAAAAAGAAGAACGGATTTTTTAGTTTAGTTTAGTGGTTAGAGCACTCACCTAAAAATTTTTGTTTGTCTTGCATCAAATGATCTTTGTACAAAATACAGAAAGTCCTGAGAGCAGAACCCCTGTACTGATCTCTCCCAGGAGAGCACACGAACTGTCAGTCTACAGCATCATGCCCTCCTTTGTCATCTTGAATTCCTTCCTGCACTTCATTTGAAATGGAGTAGTAGAGGATTTCCACCTCTGGCACAGAATAATGTATAATTAGTGTGAATTTAGGAGGTTGAAAACATGTACAAATCTTTTCAACCTTAGAAAGTAAATTAAAAGTCTGTTCCTCAGCAAGCATTCTGAGCCAGGTGTGAGGGAAGACCAGCCCTCACTTAAAACAATTTTACCAAACAAAATAATAATAAAATAGAATTTTTGACTGCCTGAAGCATTTCCCCACAGCTGTCTCCAGGCAGCTAGTTGCTCTGAGTGTCTCTCATCGACACATTGCAAAAGTAATCCAGTAAGTTACACTGTTGACTCTGCAGTTTACCCCATGGGGCTAATCCTGTCCTATTGGCTCTTCCTGAGTCATAGCACCCATTCTTCTTTCCCTCCCAAGAAGACATGAGGAAAAAAAAAATCACTCTATTGTCTATAGCAGAATTAAGATCCAGGAAGGTTCTCACATAGATCTGAGAAATAGTCTTCATTCTCAGATTTTAGATAAATTGTAACTGACTGCAAGACCTGGCTTTTTGGTTAAATCCATAACTGGATCTAGCTCTTGCTGTCTAAAATCTTTCTAGTTATTTTTTCCAGTGTTATTCTCAAAAGCAAATTTTCCTTACTGTGAATATTTTTGGCTTCTGGACCAACTTTATGACGACAACATGGCTTTTTTGTTAAACCCGTAACTGGATCTAGCTCTTGCTGTCTAAACATCTTTCTAGTTATTTTTTCCAGTATTATTCTCAAAAGCAAATTTTCCTTACTGTGAATATTTTTGGCTTCTGGACCAACTTTATGACGACAACACAAAACACGTAGGATGTTCAGTTATATTGCTTTCTTGTACAAAGAACTCTGTCCAGTTTTGAAAAGAATGGTCATAATGAATATGTACCTCATGAAGTATAAATAAATTCATTTTTTAATCTAATATGATGCACTACAGTGGTATAAGATGTTTAAGTGTATATTAAATACACCATTCATATTCTAATTATGAGTATCCCTATTATTTTTAATATTTTGTTGGTAATGACAATTAAAGAATTATATTTTGTAAGTTTACGATATTCCATCATTAAAAGCCTTTAGGGCAATATTTGGTTAATATTTCCATTGATTAATTATGGAGTAACTTGATCATTCAATGGGGGAACAGCAGAGGTCTACTCAATTTTCCTGTCTACCAAAAGGCATTTCTGAACTAGCTGTCGTAAAGCAGCAGTACAGATGTGATAATAGACCCTTTTCTCAGTCTAGACACTGTTATATAATCCTGTTTTCTATTTCCACTTTTATAAACAAATAAGAATATAGTCTTTATATTCAGACAGAATTATAATGGAGCATACCAGCATATCTGGTAACATGAAAACAAGTAAAAACAGATGCACAATATAATTTGCAATCCATTGATTTTTATAAAAAATAATTGGGGCTATATGTAAAGGAAATGTTGTATTTATTTCCAATAATAGATCAGATTCTTGTTAGCAATAAGGTTATTTTAAAAATTCAGATAAAAATTCGGTAATGAAAAATAGTTTAAAAATACCTTTTTAACATAGAATCAGAGAATCATTAAGGTTGGAAAAAGACCTCTAAGATCATCTAGTCCAACCATCAACCCAATACTACCATGACCACTAAACTTTATCCTGATGTGCCATGTCTACACGTTTTTGAACACCTCCAGGAATGGCGATTCATATCCCACTTAAACATTAATAATAACTTATTTATCTGCTTTTATCGAATACTAAATATGTGTTCTGATTTTTCAGGGCCTTTTAATCATATCAAGTCAAGCCTGTTGGGATCCACATCGGATTCAAATCTCAACAAATACAGTACAATCAACAAAATTCCTCAACTCACACTGAACTTTTCAGATATCAAAAGTGAAAAAAAATCTTCATCTCCTCCTTCAGAGAAAGCAATTATTGCACCTAAGGTGAAAGACCGAACGCACAATGTAACAGAGAAGGTTACCCAGGTAAGGTAGTACCTATTATTTTAGCACCTTTTCAGTTTTGTAGAGCAAATTATCAGTGTATTCAATAGATTGTGACTCTTTTCATTAACAATTTGGATATCTTCAAGATACTTTAAAGGGTTTGAGCCATTCCTTACTTTAGCTCCAGTTCCATTGCACATGAGGTATTTTATAACATTAAATGATACTGCTAACAAAACTTTTCAGCTCTCTATTTTTCCACGGACAAAAGCCAGGTGCCTCAGATAAGTCCACTAATTTCAGCGATTCCTCGAAATCATAAATGTTAGTTTATTTTCTTTTCCTTTTTCTCAGCTGTATGATTTGCTGATTAGTGCGAGGCACAGCGTAACCAACAGTAGGTGATTGTGATGCTGGTCTAAGCATCATAGTTATGTCTTGTAATTTCTGTTACAGTTCTTTGGCTTCTCTTAGTGCTTTTTCCTGTGGGTATCTTTTCCATATGTGTACATCAAAAAGGCTGTCAAAAGGAGAAGCAGATACCTTTGGACTGGATGTATGATATATTCTGTAATACTTGGAAAAGAGGCATACAAGTGAAGCAAAACCGAAAACAATTCAAGATAACATATATCTTCACTTTAAGACAGATATAGTGCCCTCTGAATGCAACAGAAATTTTCAGCTAAATTCAGTGTCATTATTCCATTGTGCTGGAATGTCATATGGAGATTGATAAGGACAGACTACCAATGTGCAACACACTGAAAAAAGAAAAAAGAGATGACAGTATCCCAAATAACTTTTACAGTATCTCCATATATATAGTAAATAGAGGGCTGGCTCTTGAATGCCCATCTACTCACACACTGAAAGAGCTTAGAAATGCTTTATATTAGAATGCAGAAGGAGATTCCATAAAGAAGATTTTGCCAAAAGTAGCTTTTGACTTACTGCTGACCTGCCTTCCATAGACCAGACTGCAGCTTCTCCGCATTGGTGCTATGCCAGATATTGCCCATGTTCCTACTCCCTTTGATGGATATAAAAAGGAATGTATTGTACACCCTTCTAGAGAAACAGAGATAAAAATTCTATCAGTTCTATCTTGAGATCAGTTAATGCCTAAAAAGTAATTGGATTTTTATCTTTCACATATTTTTGCTTTGATAGCTAACTTAAATCTGTAACTATTGCACTTTTTTCTCTGGTCAGTTGTGAAAGATTTAATCTCTTCTGGATCCATTTTGATATGTTTTAAATTATTCATAGTAGCTATACATAGAAATCTTTTCACAGATAATATAGCAAAATGTCGATTCCCTTTAAAATGACTAATTTTTATAGGTTATGTAAGTGTAAGTCAAGCTTGATTGTTTTTTCAAAATTCTGACTGGCCAATTAGTGCCAAAATGTCAAGTTTCTGTGTACTAATGACACTGTTATGGGGGGAAGAAGAATGAAAATAAAAATCTTTTTTTATTCTCCAAACAGTCTAGATATTATGGAAGGGTCCAACAGAAATTTCTTGAATCAGCTAAACCTTCCAGGAACATTGATACTAACTAAGCTCAAAATTAAATTTTAAATGCTCTATAAAGCCTTTACACTTCACAAAAGCCTTACAATTTAATTTGACATTGATTTATGTCCTCTTCTAGAACTATCTCAACCAATGTGCACAGTATAATTTGTGTAGCAAACTTTGATAATATACCGTTCATCATAATTGGAAGGAAGTCCTCACAGCTATTCCTTTTTCTCTTATGATATTCAGTTATTAATGTTTTAAGTTGCTGCTGCAGCCTAAACTCTAGGATTAGGTACAAGTTGAAACTTCTAGGACATACATATAAATGTAGATCTACTGAATTCAATAATCAAAGATCTAGTTAGAGCTATTTATTTGTGAATTAGATTAGAAATAGGCATTTAGAAGATGAAAGCAGTTAGTTTTAGTCCTGTTTCTTTCTAATCCCCAGAGATTCCAGTACGGTTTATGAGTCAGCATTTGTGTCATATCCACTGCGTGTCTGCCTGTAAATCTCTGTGAAACTTTTCACAGGCCCATAAATCCATTTTGTACCCACAGAATAGTGCAAATGTGGTTTTGGAAGGTTTGAGCATAGTGTTGAGAATAAAACATGGCAGAAACGTCGGATGAGATAATTAGGATATGCTCATGCTGGCACAGTCCTCTGATAGGTAAATCTGTGAAACGGCATCTCAATTGTACAGAGGGCAATGTGACCTGTTTAATCTATGGCACAAAAAAAAGCAAATGAGTACAAAATGGCCGTGGTAAGTTAAAAGGTCACCGTTAATCAGAGTAGTGACATTCTGAAATAGTCTACTAATAACAGAGGTTAGGGCAGGACTTCCAAATGCCGTTAGACAGAGTCTGAGAAATGTAGTAAAGGGACAGATAACGTAATGTGCTTTTCTGGGCTTGCAGGACTTAGTTACATGGAAGGGCACTTCCAGTCATATATTTCACCACACAAACATCCGTCCCTCTCTCTCTTCGTATTCCGTATTGTGTAAGTCTCTCCTTTTCCTTTCCTCAGCATTGCTGAGAAATGTGGTCCTGCTGTTATAACCTGACGTTTCCACTGCTGCAACTCACTCTGCAACTCCAAGTATAGAGACATGGACTACACTGTGGTGTCACTACACTATGCCTAAACTAAGGTATCAGTGAGCCTCACAGCTGCATCACTGCACCCTGGATTCTCTCTCATGCATCATTAATATCAAACCAAGTGTCAGCATCACAGGGCACAAGAGCAAGTTCTTTCCAAAGACAGCAGCTGTATGACTTGTGTCATATCCACAAGCTGGAGAAGTCATTCAAGCAGTGCAGACAGTGAAAAAGGAGGAGATAACACATAGCTACCTTCACAAGCTACTAATAATAGCGATTAAAATAAATAAAAGTGTCATGGTCATTGTGTTTAGAGGAAGTAATACACTTTCAGAAAGCATTTAAAGAGGAGTGATATGCTTTAGCAGTAGGAATCAATTAGGAGCAGATGGGAGAATAAAGTTTAGAAAATAATTTCAGATGAAGCAGAGGATGTTGTAGTACAGTGGTTGATATTTGAGTGAAAAACATGGACTTTGAAATGTAGGTCGAGAAAACGAGATTTCACTACAGAATTTAATAAATAAATAAATAAAGTAAAACCTCAGCATCTTTACCTTTTAAGTAATACAAATAAATGATGTCTTAAAAAAGAGCTAGGTTATAAATTCTACTGCAAAGGCCCTTCCAATATTGTCTTACTACTAACAGAATTTTTCAGGACGTTATGGAGAGATGAAAATTGCCTTAAGAAACAGCTTGCAATGAAGTGCTGCACATGGGATAGTCCTGAATAAGTAGGAACCCCAATCTCCTGGCCTTTCATCTGGGTCTTTGCTGACAAAAACTCGTCGAAGTAGAGTAACATCTTCTCGGTGCCTGTTTCTGTCTAACATTTGCTTTTACTCAGAAGAATAGCCCAGTAGTAGCTTGCAGACAGGCCTTATTGAAAAACTGGCATTGTCACATCCCAGAGTACATATTTGTCACTAAAATTAAATTTACATTTCCATTCTACTTTACTGAAAATTTAGATATTTTTAATGATTCACTTTATCATTTTCAGAGGTGCTGAGTTAAGACTTTCTTCTAGAAGACTCTCACTTTTTTCCATTATTCAATTTTTGACAGTCTGTTCAGGAGGACAGTCCAATTTCTGCACTCTTTTACATTGACAGGTTCAGTTGGGGTCCTGACACTGATTGTTAGAAAGAGACAAGTCTTCCCACAGGCATGAAAAATAGACTTTTATTAAAGAAAGCAGTGGGGCAAAAATTTGACATCTGTCCCTTAACATTTTGATGAATTCATAAAGGAGACTTCTGGCCTTAAAATTACAACTTGTAGAAGTGCAACAGTAAGTGATGTTAACTTTTGTTTAAATACTGATTTATTTTAAATCTTCTCATACATCCACTAGCCACTGCTGTATACCTCCAAAGCTGTGAGCTCCGTTGTGAACAGACTCAGAGCAGCTTGAAGAGCAGAATAGTCAGTACCTAGGTTTATTTTCAAAGAAAAGAGAGAATTCCTGAGTACCTATAGATTAACACTGGCAACAAACAATAGCTAACCCAGTGAATAAACTTATAAATTACTGGTATCTGGTGTTGTTTAACAAAAACTGTTTTGTGGTCCCTGATCATTAGTGTTCAGAGATTATTCATCCCCTTGAAATTCATCAGTCTGTTGAGATACAACATGTGGTTGAAAGACCCAGTCTGTAGCAGTTGTTTATGATTTCTCTCAATAACTGACTTACAGGGTATAAAAATTTATGATCTTTAAACTTCTTGTCAGTAATACTTTCCAAAACAATATTCTCATCTTATTTCCAAACCAAATTTCTGGTTCCTACATTTTCTCATATGTAGGAAATACATATATCCAAACTGGTTATATGGCTGATCGAATTATAAGTATATATCTTGAAGGGCTACATGGTTAATGGGAAGATTATAATCTGATTTTCAGACGTGTTGAACACCCACAGCTCTCCTGAAAATGGAGCTCTCAGTGAAGGGGAGGTCATGTATGAAGTGATAGACCTTGTAGTTTCACCGCATGTTTTTGTAATCTGGCCAGACTCTGTTCTGTCAGCCCCAAAAGATGAAGAAATAAGTAACAATATCCCCCAAGGCCAGTCTCAGCTGTTGATATAAAAAGAACTATTATATGATCACGACTTCAAACTGACCTTCAGGTTTTCAGGCTAAAAGAAGACTAGCAGCGTCTAGGATGGAAAGGGACAATATAAGACCTAAAAATAAACCATATTATTGATCTATATGTTTTCAACAGTCTGATTAAGCTGACACACTGTGCTGTTTACAATATCATGCAATAAACCACACACAAGCAATCTTTCAAGGCTGTTTGTTTTGGAACATGAGGTGATATAAAGCAGAAAATTCTGAATAAAAGGGAAACAATTTTGATATGCCTTCCAATTACA